AAGTGAGAATATTTCTCTCCCATTTTTTAGGCCACATGTTAGCTTAAGTGGGCTACACAGTGGCATTCATGGCACCACACAATTATAATTGGGAAGTTCCGTCAATGTAGTTAAAGGAGATGCATAGAGGTAAATGAAAATGAAACAATTTTAAAAGTTAGTAGATGAGTTTGAAAGAAAACAAAGATTCTAGACTAAAATGAAAAAAGAGTAATAGTTAATAGATGATTTCTTAAATTAAGCCCTAAAAAAAATAAATAAATAAAGCTAACTATAAAGTTAAAGTTAATGAAATTGGTCAGTATGAATGGACGATGAAATAACTTTTGTGTGGAAGCACTTGCAGCCAAAGAGCGAAAAAAGGAGGGCAAGGTGTCCGTGAGTGGAAGTGACGAATCTCTAAACTTTGAATATGAATGATCATGCATCACATGTTCTGTTTTGATCATATAAGAAAGGTAAAGAGTTTCACATAACCCACTAGTTTATAAACATCCTTTTTCCGACAATGCACACTCATATTCACACTTCTATTGTCCGTTTCTTTTCTTCACCTTTGACTTGACAAGATATGCAAAAACATTTTGCCTTATCTAGTGAACTTTACATGAAGGAGAAAACAAAAAGGGGTGTCTCTTTCTTTTTCCTTTTTTTTTTTTTTTTCCCTCATGCAATATACAGTAACAAAAATTAATAATGAAAATGCAGTTACTCCCATTTGATAGAGGGATTGAAAAGATAGTTTTAATACATATATATGCATTAATTACAAAGCTATAACAAGTTTGAACAACTTATATTAATATAAAATTCATCCATGCTTTTATTTTTTCTAAACGTCCATATCTTCAAGAAGCCACCGTAATGAAAGAAGTTCTGATGTGGTATCACTAAGAACTCTATACTCAGCTTTAGTACTAAAGCGAGTTGGAATAGTATGTTTCTTATTCCACCAAGAGATAAGAGAATTACCAAGGAAAATACAGTAGCCAATGGTAGATCAACGATTAGAAAGATCACCAACCCAATTAGCATCATAGTAAGCACAAAGCACAAGAGAGGAGTTGGCAGAAAAATGGAGTCCATGAAACAATGTTCCCTTAACATAGCGAATAATGCAAAATACCGCTGCATAATGAGTGGAGCGAGAAGCAGCCATAAATCGACTAACAATGTGAATTGCATATGCTATATCAAGGCGTGTCATGGCAAGGTAAACCAGACTACTAACCAATTGTCGATAACGAGTAGAATCAGAAAGTGGAGAGCCATCCATAGGTGTAAGCTTGACATTAAGTTCAAGAGGTGTAGAAACACTCTTACCATTATTGAGTTCAGCTTTAGAAACAAGATCGGAGGCATACTTTACTTGAGAAAACAAGTAGCCATCATTTGAAGAGGTGACTTCAAGCCCCAAGAAATGGCTCAAAACACCAAGATCTTTCATCTCAAATTTTTGACTGAGAGATTGTTTTAGCTACTCAACACCTACGACATCATCTCCAGTAATAATCATGTTGTCAACATAAAAAAGTAAAAGAACCATATCCCGAGCAGTCTTACGAATGAACAAAGCTGTATCATGTGAACTGGAAGTAAAACCAAACTCACTCACAATAGTACTAAACTTGGCATAACAAGGTCAAGGGGATTGCTTCAACCCGTATAATGCACGTCGCAATCAGCATACCTTGTTTGGAGGATGGGTGAGCCCAAGAGGTGGTTTCATATAAACTTCTTCTTCAAGGTCACCATTAAGAAAAGCATTTTTCACATCAATCTAAAACAATTTCCATCTCCGTATAGCAGCAATAGCAAGCAAACTATGCATAGATGTGAGACGAGCAACTGGAGCAAATGTTTCCTCATAGTCTATTCCATACTCCTATGTAAAACCCTTGACAACCAAGCGTGCCTTATAGTGCTCCACAAAACCATCAGATCTTGTTTTGATCTTCTACACCCATTTATAGCCTATTAGAGCCTTTTCAACAGGGAGATCAACTAAATCCCATGTACGAGTGTTCTCAAGAGCCTATAATTCATCTTGCATAACTTGTTGCTAAAGAGAGTTAGAAGAGGTCTCTTGATAGGATTGAGGATCATGTAAAGAAGTAATAGCAGGAAAACAATGATAATCACGAAGGTAGCTGGGAGGGTTTCTTACCCGAAGAGGATGACTCAAGGATGGGACAACAAGCTCAGATGCAACATCAACAGGTGATATAGATGAGGAAGTAGAAAAAGGCTCAAAATTATCTAATGCATTACCAACAGGCAGATCATCTTCTACAGAACTAGTTGGAGCATGTGGTGAGGCATTGTAGAGCTCATCAAATGTACCTGCATCAGAATCACTAGGAAATAGCTCAATAGAAGGATTAGTAAAAAATGGAGGCTGATGAGAGGATGACACCTTGAAGTTTGACAACGACAAGAACATAGTGTGTTCCCAAAAGACAACATGGCGTGAAACTCGGAGTTTTTGTGACACAAGATCCCAACAACGATATCCTTTTTGTGTAATCCCATAACCCAAAAAACAATATAATCGAGCTCTAGGCTCTAACTTATTACGTTCATAAGGTGGAAGAAAAACAAAACATGCACAACTAAAAACCTTAAGAAAGAAGATTATAGGTAGGAAGAATACCATGTAAATGCTCATATGGAGACTGGTTATTAAGGATTGATGATGGAATGCGCTTACTAAGATAAACAGCTGTAAGAGCAACTTCACCCCAAATCGCTCTGGACAAGATGATGAAATGAGCAAAGCACGAATAGAATCAAGGATGTGTCTGTGTTTGCGTTCAACTCGCCCATTTTGTTCATAAGTGTAAGGACAAGATTATTGTGTTAGGGTACCCTATTCTTTCAGAAAAGACTAAAGTTTAGTACTTAGATATTCAATAGCATTGTTAATTCTCAAAACTTTAATAATTTTAGAGAACTGAGTTTTGATCATGGTAGTAAAATCAATATAAATTTGTGATAATTTAGAGTGATTTTTCATAAGGTATATCTAAGTAAAATGAGTATGATCATCAATAAATAACACGAAGTACCTAGAACCCGCCATGGTGGGTGTAGGAGATGGACCCTAAACATTAAAATGTACGAAATCAAAAGGAGCAGTAGAATGAGAGTGACTATTCGAAAAAGATAAAGCTGGTTGCTTTGCAGATTAACATGACACACAATGCAAGGATTCATTTGGAACTGACCCTAATAAACCATGAGAGATAAGTGGACGAAGTTTATTGACTGAGGTATGTCCAAGCCGTGAGTGTCACAAATGGGGAGAAGAAATGTTAGTAGCAACATAGGCTTGCAAAATTTATTGGTATGGAATTTGTAGAGACTCTAATTCAACAGCACAAAGCAAGGTTTGGATGAATCGATCATTTGGAAATGATTGTGTATCCATTTTATTATCAAGAATATGCAGATAGTTGAGCTCAAACAAACGCCCCACCTTGCGACCAGTTCCAAGAAGTTGTCCTGTCTATGGGTCCTGCACTCGACAACCATGAGCAAACAATGTTACTTCAAGACCAGGATCACATAATTGACCAATAGATAGAAGATTATAACTAAGTTTTGGAACTAATAAGGCATTTGGTAAAGTCAATGACTTCGTAGAAATATTGCCAATATGACTAACATTCATAAGGGAAACATCAGCAAAATAAATATCTGGAAAGGAATTATTTGGTGACATTGAAGAAAAATGCACAGTAACTGAAGAATATGGTTACAACAACCAAAATCAAAATACCAAGGTTTGGTATCTAGAGCAGTAAATAAGGCAGTAAGAGCATTAAAAAGATTTAATATCACCTGTTTTAGGGATTCAAGGTTAACATTAGATTAGTCTATCACTTCTTTGGCAACCATAACAGTAGCAAGATAAGTTACAATCCTTTCAAAACTCGCTAAAGAATCAATAAAACTCACAATACTGAAAAAACTCTAAAAAATATGAAGAAATAGATGCCAATATCAAAATAGTAAACCAGCAAAATACCTCAAAAAGGGCCTGAGAATTGAGGATAAACAATCCAATAAGTAGAAGAAGAGATCCCCACGACAAAATTTCAGATCTAAAATAGAATCGAAAATCCAACTCTAAAAACCAAACAACGATGATAAGAGAAAAGAACCAGGAGCTTATAGCTCTGATATCATATTGGAAACAGAAAAGAAGAATAATAATTTAAAGAAATGTTTATTGCTTTCTTGAATAATATTGTATGTACAATAATCTATATATAAGTATTTAAAAAGAAAATATTCTAAGATATAAAGTATATAAAGAAAATATCTTAAAATATAAAATATTTATAATAATTCTAAATATAATTGTATTACATCTTAACACTTTTCTTCACCTTTGACTTGACAGGAGGGTACATACACAGAGCGTCGGCATCATAGCGCCACACCGAACAAGAATCCATGAGATTCCGAAATAATTTAAGCCATTGGCATGGTCCTACCAGTACATGAACTCCTTGTTTTCATTAAGATCCATTCTACTCACCTCCATTGCTAATAGTGTAATTAAGTCAAACAATGATGAGTCCATTACTCCATAACAATGACGATAAGATGAAGATACCACATTATTCATGTCTATGTAATGGATGTGTACGCTGTTTTATGTCCATTTTCATTACCAACGAGGAATCTTACAATGTCAACGTGAATAGGAAGAATCTTGATGTTTACAAATTAAACAAAAGATTCTGATGTTTCTGGATATGCCCCATGAAAAAATTTGCCAAAGAAAGAAAAATAAAATCAAGATCCAACTCTTCTTGAAAATGGTTTTTTTTTTTTTTTTTTGAACATATCAGCTTAACTCTTTCTAAAACAGAGCAACATTTGATCCAAAAATGTGCTTCATTATCACTACTGCCGTAGAATTTTGGATAGTAGAGGATGACCTTATAAAATCATGACAAAGCTGAAAGAATTGTATGCTTTACAAAGCCATTATTAGTATTTATTTATTTACTTGCATATTTCTTTTGGGTGATTTAATAAATGTTATTATCTTTAGATCACACATTAATTAAATTGATTATGGGGATGATCAAATAAAAAATTTGATGATCTTAAAATTGTTCACAACCATAAGCATACTTTGGACAATATGCTTAATTTGGCTGTCACATATTGTACTATTATAAGTGATAGAATGATAAATTTCAACCACTAAAGTGAGACTCTTAGTAACATAGTAAGTATTTGTATAAGAAAAATATTGAACTGGACTATATAAAATAATCTTAAGTTATTTACTGTCAAATAAAAGATTATTCTATCCACAATTCATATAAGGTCCTCAGACCTAAAGATATTATTTAATCTTATGTATAAGTTATTTAGTTTTGATATTATCAACCGGTGACACCCAATAAATAGAATATATACAGACATATTAAACTATATAATAAGTACATAAAGATTTATAGTTATCTAATAAGGAACCACCACTCTTATCGTAAGAGAGAATATTCAAGTTTGTGTCTCTTTTATATTAGATAAAAATCCAGCAAGTCAATTTAAATAAATATTTTCAACTTAGTTTTAGAAAATTAAATTTTATCAAAATTTTAGTTTCTAAATTGTTTTTATTGTCTAAATATATTTAACAGACACACATACAAAGTTTGGATGACAGTTTTATAAAAATTTTAATTCGATTAGACTTTGTATGGAATTTTAGTTGGTGAAGAATTATTCTATAAATATTGTGGTTTGAGAGATCTCACAATTTTATCTGTAATTTCTTAGATAAGATTGTTATCTACTAATGGGTTTTTTTATTACAATTCTAAATTGATTTAAATTCAATTTGTTAAAAAATTAAGATCCCAAAAAGGAGTCCCACGCAACATGCTATTTGTAATTTTAGTCTAACTATACAAGTTCTTTATAGGTAAGACCTATTGATTTGTCAATATGGAATCTAAGTTTTTACAAGAAAAACAGAAACTAGTGGGAGGAGAAGCCATCACTTCTTTAATAGACTGAATTGAGGCATCGCGTATGAACTTTTGGAGGATTTTGTGCATGTGAAATCTCTATGAGTTTTCCTAATTTTTACATGAACATATTTGTATCATGAGGACTAATAATTTGTTTATAATTCTCAATTTGATTAAGTGTATTATAAACCCTTCAAAAGCTTGATAAAGAATACACATGATTTTGATTTTTTTCCAGGGAAAACGAAGACTTACATTGGATTCATCAGCATGCAGCATCGTGTCCACCACTCATTTGGGGGTAGAACTCCGTAGAAAGTTAGAAGAAAGCGGAAACAAGCAAGAAGAAAATGTAAAATAATCTTCAGCAGCAGACATCAACTTGTGTTCTTGTTCTTGATTTGTCCAGGTAAAATGCTATGTTTCAAAGGCAATTTGGGTGTTAATTTTATTATGATTCAAAAGGGATATGGGGTTCCTGTGCCTTTGGATTATACTGCATGCCCGCCACATATTCAACAGTGGATAAACGTTGATGCACTAAGATATGTGATTAGATTGCTCGGCATTACCGAATCAAGGAGGAAGGAGGCAGTTGCTGATATGCATGTGCCCTAGCGTCTCTTCCCGCGAATATCAATTCGACTTTCGAGTACCGAACAGCTTTTTGGGCCTTATATTTGGATCTGCCTGGCTGAGTCCGGCCTGCTTACAATTGTATACCTGGATTCATTGTACACGGTGCACCTGGAGCCTTGGACCATTAGAAATTTGGAACAGTTCACCCATCGTTGGACCTTTTCTCTTCTTCGTTTTTCATAGGCTAATGGCTGAGTAATAGTAGTTTTTCTTACCATATTTTCGTATTAAGAAATAAAAAGTAGAAAAGATATTCTGTTGTTTATATTGTATTAAATTATATAATATTAATTATTAA